TGTTACTAGGCTTAATTTCACCTTTTACACCATGCTACATTTTGCACACATATTTAGGATGTAACATCGTGCAAAAGGGCTTCCCCCCCCCCCCCATTGACAGAAGGCACTGTGCGGGAGTTTCTTTCCCCCCACAGCCTCTTGCTTATTTAAATCCCACACAGTCACCATCATTCATTCACAGAGATCTGTGGATAAATTAACTACAAGTCCCATCTTCCACTGCAGCAATCAGACTTATAGTTCTCAAGGGAACCCAACTGTAATGCACCAACACTTCCTCCAGGTTTCCAGCTGGAGGTCTGTTTTTTTTTTCTTTTCTTTTTTTTTTGTTCTATGCTTGTCCAAAGCATGTTTGAAAGAGGCCTGGCATTGCATCTGACATCCACTGATTGCGGGTGCAATACTTTGAAGGCTCCTGTTCATAAAACTAAGAAATGCACTTTTTTTTTCTGTTTCCAGTATAGGTGAACTTAACCCTTACAGCTGTACTCCAGGAATAATCTTTTTTTTTAAATGTATATTGGTCCAGCTTGGTTACATCTAATCATTCATATCTCACATGCTAAGGGCCGCTGAGTTTGTAGAAATTCACTGTAGTAGCCGGGTGCTACTTGAGGGACTTGCTTTCTGTATACTGAATATGGGAGATCACTCAGCACTTCTACCATTTAGCGAAACCTCTTGTGTTTATTTTAATCAGTAGGAGGCGTCCTCTGTTTGGATGAGTTTGGAGATTGTGACATCATCCTCCCCTCCTCTTCGTCTCTTTCAAACCAGTGAATGCCTTGTGTGTTCAATGAATGGAAAAGGTACTGAACGAGCTGCCCTCTGTGTTCAGTACAGAGAAGGCAAGTCGCTTGAGCAGCACCTAGAATAGACCAGCACTGACTGGTATGTAGTAGAGACTAAAGTTGGCCATGGTCGAATTCCAAATGAATTTTCTTTCGATTAATCTTAACTGAAAATTTTTGTTCGAATTTTGCACCATTAGTGGGCTGCAGCAACAGTCGATTTTCATGCGGCCATCAAATTTTGAGTGATCGGGCATGTTGGAAATTTTTTGAAAAACGGAAGAATTTCTAATCAATGATGGGAGAATTGTGCAAGAAATAAAATTGAAAAGAAATGAGCATGAGCTGTGACCTGGAAAGAAAAGAAGATTCCCTGCCACAGAAATTCTTTTCTGTAGCAACATGAGGTGAAATTGAAGGCTTAGTTGGTCGAAGTTTGAAATGAATGGTGGCACCATGAGATTACCAAACACAATATTTCCGATTTTTGAAAGAAAATGTGTTCATAATTCGACCCAGGTATGGCCTGCATTATGCAGGCCATACATGGTTCAAATTCCAAACTAATGTGACTTTATTTTAACTAAAAATTTTGTTTCAAATTTTGCACCATTAGTGGGCCATAACATCAGCCGATTTTCGTGCGGCCATCAAATTTGAGTGGTCTGGCATGTTGGAAAATTTTTAAAAGCAAATGAATTTCCAATCAATGATGGGAGAATTGTGCAAGAAATATAATCAAAAAACTAGAAAAGCTACAATTTCTGGGGAAATTGTGTGAAATGTTCTTGCCTCCACCAGTAGTCTACAACTGGAGTGGGCAGAGTAACTGGGTGGAGTGGCTTGAGTAACTGTGAAAAGGTTGGACTGAAACTATCAGGACTATGGCTTAGCCGTGGACATTTTTAGTGGCAGCAGGGATAGCTGAACGTTTTGATATAAGATTTGTGTAGGTGGGCTTGAAACTGAGGGAGTGATGGCAGTTTAGAAATCATGTCCTGATTTTTCAGCTCACACTCTAGCTTTTGTCAGCTCCCACTCTAGTTTTGAACATTCAGCCATTCATTCCTATGGGACCAATTTCACCACAAAAACGCTGATATTTCGTGAACCATTCTGCAAAACATTCCACCAAGTAATAGCACACCAATCAGGAACAATCCGCACGTTTCGGTATATTACTGTCTATGTAGTGTAAACTGTGGGAGGAGTTAGGGTGGTAAATTTGGTTATAATAAGAATATATATGTGAGATAACAGTAAGTGGTCTTGCCATGCAAGAACACTTAATAAAGGAACATGAGCTGTGACCTGGAATGGAAAGATTCCCAGCTACGAATATTCTTTTCTGTAGCAACATGAAGTTAAATTGAAGGCTTGGTTGATCGAATTTCAAAATCAGTGGTGGCACCATCGGATTACAAAACGCACAAAATTTCTGATTTTCTTAACCACTTCCCGACCGGCCGTTGTATATAAACGGCCAGACGGTGGCACTGCAGGGTCGGGTGGCCGTCTATAAACGGCCTCCCTGCACCCTGCTTGTGCGCGCTCCACGGGGAGCGCGCAGCACCGCGATCCGGTGCCCGCTGTGTCCTCCGGACACAGTGAAACACCGATCGTCGGACGGGACCTCTGTACGAGGTCCCGATCATGTGATCACTGATTGGCCAATCAGTGATCACATGCAAAGTAGTAAGCAAGATGTCACTTCTGACATCATTGCTTACTATGTGTGAAATCTGTGAATGATCACAGAGGTCACATGGTACAAGGCTATTCACAAAAGCCTTGTACCATGTGACAAGCTGTGACCAATCACAGCTCACTCAGTTCTTCTCAATGAGTGCAAGAATGCACACAGAGAGAAAGAGAAATGATTGCTTTTACATCCTATATGGGTGTAAAAGCAACCAGTGTAAAAAAAAAAAAAAAAAAAATCTTCATCACCCCTCACAAGTAGTACAGTGTCACCATGGTGACACTGTACTGCTAGGGTGACAGTATGTAAAAAAAAAAATAAAAATAAAAAATAATAATATAAAAAAATTAAATAAAAATGTAAAAAAAAACGTTTAAAAATTATAATTTTTGCTTATAAACTAATTTGGATTTTTTTTTTTTTACTAAAAAGATAACGGAATAAATTTTGGCTAAGATTTATGATGAAATATTATTTATTTGCAAAATTTTTTATAAAAAAAAACACTTTTTTTCAAAATTTTTGGACATTTCATTTACATAGCAAAAAAAATACAAATCTCAGTGGTGAATAAATACCACCAAAATAAAGCTTTATCTATCTCAAAAAAATGGTAAAAAATTCATTTGGGTACAGTGTTGCATGACCCGCGCAATTGTCATTCAAAGTGTGATAGCGCTAAAAGCTGAAAATTGCCCTGGTCAGGAAGGGGGTAAAAGTGTCCGGTCTGGAAGTGGTTAAGAAAATTCATTTTGAATTCAACCCTTGTATGGCTTGCATAATACAGTGAATTTCTGCATCCCCAGCGTAACCCTGGAGGTGAGATATGAAGAATTAAATTAACCAAGCTGGACTGTTTGTGGAGTTCAGCTCTAACCTTAGATTGTACACTCCTTGAGGGTTAGGGACTGATGTGAATGTACAATATATGTAAAGCGCTGCATACATTTACTGATCTAGAAAAGTACCATAGCTGTAATAACTAAATAACAAATAACACTTCCAGGCTTTAATTTGATTTATTTTGCCCCTTGAGCTGTTCCAGTATTTTAAGCATGGAGTGATTTTAAAGCTATGGTATACAGTAGATGCATTTCTCCTACTTATTTGACTATGTTAATGTGAGAAGATTTGACTGTACTTTATAATAATGAATAGACAGACACTGGATTCTGCTCAGGCTTTAACCATAATTATGGGTTTTGAGAAGCTCTTGAACTTTTTATTTAGTGAGCACACATCATGTACAGTGAGAAGTCATTGCTGTGATATGTGAATGTCACCTCTGACATTTTATAATCACTGTGGCCAACTTAACTAATGCTGCAGACTTTTAGCATCTCAGCAAACTGTGTCCCATGATTTCCCAGGGTCATGGCCATCCAGCTGCGAGGGGAGGTAACAAAATAAGCCTTTATGACTGTAATCTGAACTGCCTATGCGAGAGGCCAGACCTGTTCAACCTGGTTTATGTCAGGAAGATTTGAGTTTCCTAGAAAGCACCTTTCTAGGAATGCCAGAACAGCAAAAAAGAGTTGTTTTTTTTTTTTTTTTTTTTATTAACATAACACATTGGAATTTTCATTGAAATGTCATACATTGGCTGCTTTGCTTGTAGTCAGATTACTGAATTTGCTAAATGATACAATGTAGAAAAATGGGTTGTGGCAATATTCTAGTACCTGAGTCTACTAACTCCTGGATTTTACATTTATTTATTTTTATTTATTACAGGTACTTATATAGTGTTGTCAATTTACGCAGTGCTTTACATATATATTGTACATTCACATCAGTCCCTAACCCTCAAGAGGCGTACAATCTAAGGTCCCTAATTTACATTCATACATATACATACTAGGACCAATTTAGACAGGAGCCATTTCACCTACCAGCATGTCTTTGGAGTGTGGGAGGAAACCGGAGTACACACTAACCCACACAGGCCCTGGGAGAACATGCAAACTCCAGGCAGGTGCTGCCATGGTTGGGATTCAAACCAATGACCCTAGTACTGCCAGGCAGAAGTGATAACCATTTATCCACTGTGCTGCCCATATACATGTGTATATAACCTCTGTAGTACCTAATTTTTATTTGTGTAGTAGACAATTTATATAGTCACTTTAAGTTCCATGTTTCATATCTCCCTGTGTTGTTGTACTGCACAATGGCATACAATGCCAGTGATGGCCTGGGGTCTAGTAAAATTACTTGCTTATGATTTTGAACCAGGCTATTTTTGCAAATGGCACTAAAACGCCTTTTGCGTGTTTATTGCAAGTTCTCTTTCTGCAATAAAACTAACAGGTACTCACAGGCAACACAGGGCGCCTACAATTCAGCGCTATTTTCACAGTAGGCACTTGCAGTTAGTGTTTTGCGCAGAGTTTTTGTAAGGTTACTGACTGGTTTTACTTGCTGCCTGAAATTGCTCCTTAACCAAGTATTGATTGCAAGATGATCTTTTTGTTCATTACCGTTGCAGTTTATAGTGTACATTCAGTTGTGGAAAGAAATGTATATTTTATGTTGTGTATTTTTACATTGAAGCTTGTTTTTTGTTTTTCAGGAAATGCCCAATTCTGTTTTCTTGGTCATGGAGGTAATGTATTTTTTATTTTATTCAGACATATAGAGATTGGGGCTTTATTATGGTTTATGAAGGTTTTAACTGTATAGGTTAAATATCATGTACTGAAGAAAAAGCAATATAAAACAACTCAATTAAAATTCAGCTGTATCCTAAAGATCAGCAGGCTGCAAAATTATTATGGAGGCACTAGTGCAGGCCATAGATGGGTCGAAAATCGGCCGATTTTCGCACCGTTAATAGGTTAAAAATGGTCGGTCGTTTTTCTGGATTTTGTCAGATTTTTTTGATCGGTAAATCTGGGAAAAAATCAATTTTGCCGATCGGGCCGATTTGCCCATCATTGCCGCAAAAATTGGCTGATCGGCAAAATCGATTTTTTTCCAACTTTACCGATCAAAAAAATCTGACTAAATCCAGAAAAAAATTGATTTTGCCGATCGGCCGATTTTTGCGGCAATGATGGGCAAATCGGCCAATCTTTTTACTGATAAAAAAATCTGCGCATGAGCCGAGGAGAAGTAGATACAATGTTGCAACAAAAATACTTTTTAATGTCAAATGTAATGTTAACAAAAAAAAAAATCCCTCTTCCTTTTCTTTGAGAGGCTTTCATATGTTAATTTAAATGGTAACACATGTAAAATGTACCTAAATTGCAGTGCACAGATGTAAACCTGGCCTATGTGCAACCTTTAGCACCTCAAATACCTGCTTCCAGGGTTCTTTAACAAATACCTTCTTTAACACTAACACTAGCATGCCAAGCACTAACCCATTCTCTCCAGTGTCCTGAATATTTCTGTTCTTCTTGCTAGCCAATGGGAATGTGCGGTAAGGAACAAAAACAGCCATTAACGCTACCTTTAAGTGTAAAAACCTGCTCTTTATTGTGTCTCTGCTTATGGGGAGCTCCGTTTGTATGTAAAGCTATTTGCTGGGTGCGCTCAGTGCCTTCATTTTAGTTATAGGGCTTTCATTAGCTTTTTGATACTGAGAGGTGCCTTTAACAGAAATTTGGTATGCCAGGACAATCTGAGGCTCTGACTAAATATGCAAAGTGAGACAGACAGACATACATACATACATACATACATACATAGATGTTTAAGAATGTATGCATTAATCTGTTATGTACCAATTACAATCACATATTTCCTTACCAATTTCCTTAACAAGTAAGCAGAGCTAACCAAATTACACCTAATCAGATAACTCCATCCTTAACAATACATTTACCTTGGTATATGACTATTTTTTAATGGAACACAAGTTGTCTAATATATGGAAACATCGCTTAGAGAAGGTACTTTGTTTGGTTCCATTATATTGCTGTACTGTCAGGCATGGTGACCAGAATTACCAATATTTTGGCAAGTAAAACAGAGATGAATTAAAAAACAAAAAACCCTGTCCCATCTCTAAAATATCCAGCCAGCTGTCCCTGCAAAAAAAGCTGAATACTTAATTCTCTGGTGGGTATTGAGTGAAATGTTTGCTCTCTTGCTTCCTGTTTGGCGTTGCGGTTCTTCCTACCGGCCTCTGTGTCCTCTGGTTATGTAGATCATCACATGTCTGATGAAGGGATCCTGGGTGTCCCTGAAAGGATGCATTTCTCTGTTCTTTCTCTTGTGATGCGATCGCTATAATAAAGTTTTTAGTGTCATTTTGAAGATCCATGGCACGCTGGCAATATAGGAGGTGCGATGTTTAATTCCCTGAATAGATCTAAAAAAAAAAATCAAACATTTTGTCCTTTCTTCTAAAGATTTTATGAAATTTGAAGACCGTGTGCTTTCTGATCTCTGTCAAGATTCGAGGCACCTTCTTGCATAAATCGGTGTCATTCCAGAATCTTCTGTTAGAATCTGCTGCACTGTTTCTTCTTCATGTACAATTCAGAACATCAGTCACGCACGCAATCATCGATATAAGCATACTAGGGTTCACAATCTGTCCACATTTGCAATCATCCTTTGATTTTTTGGCTGCCCACTTCTTGCATCATTGTGGACTTGATTTCTTCATGGAATTTTCACTATATCATCAATATAGCAATAGTATCTGTATGGTTTTTATTCCATGCTGTTCAGGAATTTTTCCTGGCACCCCAATATGCCAATTTGTTTATGGCTGACCTGGAGGAAAAATTCCTGAACATCATGGAACAAAAACCATACAGATTCTATCGCTATATTGATGATATTTTCATCATATGGACAGAAGGTGAAGAATACCTAAAACAATTTTACTCATTGATCAACACTTTTCATCCAGCAATCAAACTAAAAATGGAATACTCAAACACACACGTCAACTTCCTAGACACCACAGTATATATCAGGGATGATACGCTTCACACCTCAATATACAGGAAACCCACTGACAGATGCAACTACCTCCACAGTTCCAGCTTCCACCCACAACACACGAAACGTGCCATCATACACAGTCGGGGTATTAGATACCACCGAATATGTTCTGACCCAAGAGACAGAGATAAACATCTAACGCCTTCCATAAGAAAGGTTACAAGGACAAAACTATCAACAACAGTATAAACACAGCCTTGAGAACCCGAAGGGAAAATCTACTTCAGTACAAAGAGAAAAAACAAACAACCGTCTACCTCTAGTAACCACATACAACTCTGCACTAGAAGGAATAAGAAAAATAATCAAAGATTTACAACCCATCATAACAGAGGATGGAACTCTGAAAGAAATATTCCAGCAACCCCCAATACTAGCTTTCAGACAACCCCCAACCTCAGAAATAAACTAATCAGTAGGAAACTTCCTTCTGATTATGAGGTCACAAATAATGGAAGCAAATGCTGCAAACTGTGCAACCAAATCAATCCATCAAAAAGTGTCAGACATTCAAAAGGGATCTTCAATATCTCCAGATCATACAGACGCACCTCCAGTAATGTTGTGTACCTTATCCAGTGCAGAAAATGCAGCAAGGGATCTTATGTTGGCGAAACAGGACAGAAGTTGCAAACAAGGATGAATTTGCACAGACATACCATCAAGGAACATAAAGAAGATGATTTCTGCACACCTGTGGGACACCATTTCGCACAACCAGACCACACAATGGGAGACCTCACTATTTTAGTTCTTAAAGGAAATTTCAAATCCATTCAGGGAAGAAAAACATTTGAACTAAGAATGATAATTCTATTTGACACAAGAGATAACGGCCTGAATTTGGACACGGGATTCCTCAATCATCCAACAGTTTTATGACTATCCGCTCAAGCATGACTGCCCTGCTAGTGTTGTCTCCCCCCCAGACTTTGCTTTTGCTGTGTCTTATCTCTGGTTTTTTTTTTTTTTTTTTTGTGTTTTTTTCATTCCCATCCCCTACATCTCTTCTATCATTCTGCTAAATCTTTGTTTCACTACTGCTTAGACCTGAAGAAGGGGACATTCCCCGAAAGGTTGTCCTCAAAATTGTATGTTAGTGCAAATAAAAAAAGTATCACGGACAGTATTCAATTGTTCCTGTCGCAAATGCACTAAATACGGCTGCAATCACCTCAAGCAAATTTGTAGGTGGGCAAAGATTAGCTAACATCATGCAGCAGCAAGGAAAGTTTAAAAACATATTTACCCACGTATGCCATATTCTTAAACTGCAAATAATTTGAATATTGTGCAAGCCATAAAAATCGGTTTATCATTTGTTTTTCTCAACAGTACTGCAATGGGGGAGACTTGGCAGATTATTTACAAGGTAACTGGTTCCTCTTTTTTTCTAAAGTGCCTCATGATATGTCTGTGACTGTTGCTGAAGTTTAAATCTCTCCCTCTGTTGAAACTCTATCTAGAAAGCTCTTAACGCAGACTTGAAGTGGTAACAGGAGCCTGTTGTTTTCCCAGCTTCATTGTCTTGGCTGCCGTTAGCTGTTGTCATCGTGCCATGCTCGAAAATCTAAGCTTTAATTGAATTTTAAGGCTACAGTGCATAGCCTGCTTTTTGCTTGCTGAAACATCATAAAAGCATATAATGTAAGTTTCTAGTAATCAATAATATAGGTAGGTTAATCATCATTTAAAAAGACTTCATCATCACACTTTTTAAAATTTTGTATCTGAATGTAGCTTTTACCAAAATTTTCAAAAGTAGTAAAAGGATAATTTCTATGGATAAGTTGTCCACCAAATTTGCAGTTTTGCTGTCAGTATATAACGTTGTTTCTCTCTTTTAAATAATTCTTGATATTAATGTAATAGGACCATGTAGTGTCATTGGGTAGTTAGGCCTCTTCTGTACAGGAGGTTCAGTTGGAACCATTTGTTTATCAGGCAGACCTGATTGGAAGCTCCATGTAAGGACAAATGGATGTAAATGAACATGTGTTTACAACCGATTACCTCCATGTCCAGAAAAAATGGAAAAGGTCTGCATCCTTTTTTTTTTTTCTCCCAACATAAACGTGATGGATGAGAAGTAGTCTGCAGTAAACGGACACTTGTTTATTTACATGGGCTGCTCATTGACCTAATATGGATCCAGAATGCTCTTGCAGCAAAAAAAATTAACAGGCATGGGTATCACAAAAGTGACATTAGTTCTGTTCTACTCTGACTTTGTGTCAAGACAGGGTCAATTTACAAAAGTTAGAAAAATGTCAAAAGTCCTTATTTTATCCCAACATGTCATAATCCTGATGTGTGCCTGTTGTACCATGTACATGGTTAATATGTAGCCTGTTCTGATTGTATTTTGTGCAAAATCTCTGGTGATCCTGATAGTCCCTCTGCTTTCCTGTTAAAAACTGACCATGCTAGGCATGAGAGCACATCCATCCCAGGGTGATCAGTTTTCTGGCTGTGCTGGGAGAACAGCCTGCCTGTCCTCCAAAGGTCAGGTTTGTGCTGACAGCCCCCCACACTGCCATTCACTGGGAAGATCAGTATATGTGTGTGTGTGTGATTTTGTATTTCCGGGTAGGGGGCACGTCCCCCATACCCTCTCTGCCATTGGCAGTTTCGGCAGTCAATCACCGGGTCCCGGCCAGAGATTCCCCACTGGCACCCGGTGATCGCTGAGGAACACTGACGAGGGAGAGGTCTGCATGTAAAAATACAAATCTCTCCCTTGTCAGTACTACCACGCTGCTTGGTATTGCTCTGCGTAGCACTGTCCCGCCACTATTACGAATATTACGAAAAAAAAAAAATTGCAGTATATATACCGCCATTTGTAGACGCTATAATTTTCACGTAAACCAATTAATTTACACGTATTGGGATTTTTTTTAGCAAAGACATAGAGCAGAATACATTTTGGCCTACATTTATGACAAAATTAGATTTTTAATTTTTTTTTACTGGATATGTTTTATAGCAGAAAGTTAAAAATATTGTTTTTGTTTTTTTTTTTTTTTTTTTTTTTTGTTATCTCAAAAAATAAAAAAGCAGAGCCAATTAAATACCACCAAAAGAAAGCTCCATTTGTAGGGGGGAAAAAAGGACATACATTTCATTTGGGTGAAGTGTTGCATGACTGCGCAATTGTCAAAGTAACGCAGCGCTGTATCGCAAAAAATGGCCTGGTCAGGAAAGATGGTAAATCCTCTGGAGGGCAAGGGGTTAAAGGTTTTCCTAAAATTCATATGTTTTACTGCTGTGATAAAGTGGGGCTGTAATGCCCGAGAGACAATCTCAGAAGGCTTGGAATACATGACCTAGTGTTCTTGTGCAAGGTGAAAGGCACCTATTGCTGACCTTCACTTCTTGAATGTTAAGAGCCTGAGCTTACCATGTAGTAAGATGGCAATCATAGACACACAAACTCAACTGTTGTTGCAGTAACAGCACAGTGCAAGAATACATGTAATGTCACTACATGCCAAGCACAAGTTGCCTTTGGGGATTATTTACTAAAAGTGGAAAGTGCAAAATTTGGTCAACTCTGCATAGAAACCCATCAGCTTCCATGTTTCATTGCCAAAGCTTAATTGAACAAGCTGAAGTTGAAACCCTTAATGCACACTGGACGTGTTTACAGCTACTGGTTTTGGCTTTTGACGTTTTTTTCTAAATCTAGTAAACCCGCCAGCATGTTATCCTATGTGTCCATGCACACATAGACTGTAATCAATGTTTTTTTGGCAGGGATGTTTTTTGGCTGTAAAAAAAAAACCCAGAACTAGTGGGTTTCTAGAGGAGTTTTTTAGCTGTAAAAATGCTCTAATGCTGAAAAATGCGGTAAATCAGGGTAAACTGCCGCAAACCAGTATTTTTGGATTTTTTTTGACCCAAAAATTTTTTTTTGCTTAAAAAAAAAAAACGCTAAAAAACCTAAATGCGGCAAAACATCGCTAAACGCTAATGCAAATAACGCTTTAAAAACCCTGAAAAACTCATGCTTTTAACGTGACTTTACACAGCTAACATTACCAGCGTTCTCAAAACACCAAGTGTGCATGGAGCCGAAAGCTGCTGTCTACCATGCACAGACACGTTGTATTACAATGGCACACTCATTATAATGACACATTTAGTGCACATGCTGCTGGCTTGAATATGTCCCTATTGCAGTATGTGCACATTATGTAGAAGCAATAAGGTATTTAAAGCCTGGACCAGATGCAGAATCAGATTTGACTATTCTGGCAGCAAGAGACAACACATAGAAACCAAACAGCTGTACATCATCTTTGTAATAACATTAAAAGCTAATTCCAGACTTCAGGGTTTTATTGTATAACCGCTGTCACATAATATTACCTGGATGCAAAGTTCCATTTAATCCTGCTGGTCAGCCAATGTGGTCTGGCTGTATTTTGGTTGATTCTGCCAGCAGCAGAATGTAAATCTGCACCATGCCGGCTGTATTAAAAGCTGGCTCTGCAGAAGCCAAGAGAAAATCTCCATCATTTAAAATTGTACTTCACCACAGGAGTCTTGGAAAGAGTACAGTTTTTGCTGTTTCTTGGATTCTGGCGTTGTCAAGCTGGGTTCTTGCTCACCTTGGAAATATTTAACATGAATCCTTTAAAACAACAATAGCGTACCGTATAATTATTGTGAGCACTACAAATAGATCTTGCTTGTCCACTTGTAAAAGAGGAATAACAGCAAGAAATACAGTGCATCCAGAAAGTATTCACAGTGCTTAACTTTTGCCACATTTTGTGTTGTTACAGCCTTATTCCAAAATGGATTAAATTAATTTTTTTCCTCAACATTCTACAAACAATACCCCATAATGACAACGTGAAAGCAGTTTGTTTTAAAATCTTTTCAATTTATTAAAAATAAAATATGAAAAAAAAAACAACCACATGTACACAGCCTTTGCTCAATACTTTGTTGAAACATCTTTAGCACCAATTACAGTCTCAAGTCATTTTGAGTATGATGCTACATGCTTGCACACCTATTTTTGGGCAATTTCTCCCATTCTTCTTTGCAGTACCTCTCAAGCTCCATCAGGTTGGATGGGGAGCGTCAGTACACAGCCATTTTCAGATCTCTCCAGAGATGTTCAATCGGTTCAAGTCTGGGCTATGACTGGTCCACTGCAGGACATTCACAGAATTGGCCCGTAGCCACTCCTTTGTTATATGGGCTGTGTGCTTAGGGTCATTGTCCTGTTGAAAGATGAACCGTGCCCCAGTCTAAGGTCCAGAGCGCTCTGGAACAGGTTTTCATCAAGGATGTCTCTGTACATTGCTGCATTCATCTTTCCTTCGATCCTGATTAGTCTCCCAGTTCCTGCCGCTGAAAAAGATCCCCACAGCATGATGCTGCCTCCGCCATGCTTCACTGTAGGGATGGTATTGGCCAGGTGGTGAACGGTGCCTATTTTCCTCCAGACATGATGCTTCGCATTCAGGCCAAAAAGTTCAATCTTTATTTCATCAGACCAGAGAGTTTTGTTTCTCATGGTCTGAGAGTCCCTCATCCACTCACATACACTGAATGATATATAGGTCTCCTAAGGAGCATAGCATTTCAGGCCAACAATCTACAGATGGTTGTCCTTCTGGAAGGTTCTCCTCTCTCCACAGTGAAACGCTGGAGCTCTTTCAGAGTGACCATCGGGTGCTTTGTTACCTCCCTGGCTAAGGCCCTTCTCCCTCGATCGCTCATTTTGACCGGGCGGTCCGCTCTAGGAAGATTCCTGATGGTTCACAAACTTCTTCCAGTTACGAATGATGGAGGTCACTGTGCTCATTGGGACCTTCAATGCTGCAGACATTTTTCTGTACTGTTCCCCAGATCTGTACCAATCCTGTCTCGGAGGTCTACGGACAATTATGTGGACTTCATGGCTTGGTTTGTGCTCTGACATGCGCTGTAAACTGTGGGACCTTATATAGACAGGTTTATGCCTTTCCTAATCATGTCCAATCAACTGAATTTCCCACAGGTGGACTCCAAGTTCTGGAAACATCTCGGGGATGATCAGTGGGAACAAGATGCACCAGAGCTCAGTTTTAAGTGTCATGGCAAAGGCTGTGAATACTTATGTACATGTGCGTTTTTTTTTATTTTTTAATAAATTGCAAAGATTTCAAAACAAACCATCCAACTTGATGGAGCTTGAGAGGAACTGCAAAGAAGAATGGGAGAAATTGCCCAAAAATAGGTGTGCCAAGCTTGCAGCATCATACTCAAAACGACTTGAGACTGTAATTGGTGCTAAAGATGTTTCAACAAAGTAAAGTATTGAGCACAGGCTGTGAATACTTATGTACTTTTTTTTTTTTTTTTTTCCCG